TTTATATGCTTTTAATTTTGTCTGTTTTTTAAATTGTAAATTAATTAATCTGTGAATACTTTTAACAGAAATTTATGGATGTCTTCTTTTTTTTTTTAATTTCTTTTTTTTCCTCCTTTTGTCTGAGTTGTACTGGATGCTGTCTCATCTCAACCTTTCACTTTAAAAAGGGAAATATTTTAAAGCTGGAAAAAATAATGACCCCGACTCTCTGGTGCAGTCCAGCTATTTTGTTTAATGCTCCTGACAGAGAAATCGTCCTTCAAGCTTGACGGGTGGACAGATTTTGTGGCAGCCCAGCGGGGTCTCCTCCTCCTTTCCCTCCTCCTCCTCCTGAAACAGGCCCTCTCCAAACCCAACGTTGCAGCTCTGCTTTCTGGCCTAGAGATTCTGGGTTTTTGGTGCCCCTTTGGTGCCATTTTTGGCGTGCCTCCTCCCTCGCCGTGCTCCAAGCACGATTTCTCTTCCAGAGAGAGTTTCCGCTGTTCCCTCCGCGGCGCGGGTGCTGCCGGTGGCGGGACGGCGCGGCCGTGGGGGCTGCCGCTCGTCCGGCAGGAACCGCGTGGCGTGGGCACCGTGGGCACCGTACCTTTCCTCGGGCGGCCCGCGTCGCCACGAAGCCCCAGGTGTTGTGGCGGGCGAGGAAGCGGGCGGTCCCGGCGCGTCCCGGTGCCCCGCCGCCCTCCCGCCGGTAGGAGAACATCCTGGACGGGGCGGCCCCCGGCCCCGGCCGCCGCGCCGCCGGCCCGGAGCCCAGCGCCGCATCCTCCCGGTACGCTGAGGCCGGGTAGCTCTGCTTCCAGAGGCCGCCCGCCTCCTCCAGCAGCGCGGGCAGCGCTTCCTCGGTGGAGGAGCTGTGCAGCTCGTCCGCCGCCGCCCCCGCCTCGGGCAGCGGCCACGACACCGAGCTGACCACCACGTACCCCCCCGCGCCGCCCCACAGCAGCGCCGGCAGCAGCCACCACGGCCACCGCCGCCCAGCCGACATCTTCTGCGGCAGCTCCGGCCGCGCCGCTCCCGCCGCGCCCTCCCGCGGCCGACGCCCGCCCCGCACCGCCCCCTCCCCGGTGCCGAATGCTCGCAGCAGCCCCCGGTCGATCGGGAGGCACGTCACGCTGCCTGCACCTGCCCGGGACGCCCGTGGGACACCCGCCTGCGGCGTGTGGGGGCCCCCCGGGGGGCTCCCTGCTGGGTTACCTGTCGTTTGTGGGGCACCTGTGACACTTGGAGCCCCTGGGTCGCCCTGGGTCGGGTGCGCAGCCCAGTAGGTATCTCACGAAAATAAGTTCTCTACATGCACCACAAAACCCGGATGGACAGGTGGAGCTGTCCAGGCAGAGGCAGTGAGACCTCTCCGTTTATTAGAAAAGAGAATCCACGAGGCAGCGTGTTCATATGAATATTCCCGTTGCAGGGAAAGATTCATTTGGGGTTAAGTAACAGCAAGACCCCAAGTCCGAGATGGCAGGCAGCACTAGTTTGGTGTTTGCAGGATGTGTTTTGATACATAAGTACATGGAGTTGCTATTAAATGATATGTTTCCCAGGTGAGGTTTTAATTAGGCAAAGATTTGGATGTATATTTGTGTTTATATTAGCGGTCTGATTTAGTAAAGGCACTTTTTCATCCAGCTCCTTTTCTTTTCTTGGCAGTAGACCCCTTCAATATGACAATGCAAACTTGTAATTCTTTGAAACATATGCTTGTAAACTTTCATTGTGTTCGTGCAAATTACTTAAAGAGCACAGGTTCAATAGGAGACAGGGAGCAACGAATCTCACAGAAGCCTTTGCCTGTTTGAAGGTTCTCAGGTACATCTCACAGATCTTACCTTTCCATAGCTGCGAAGAACATATTGCAATGTCAGTCTATTCACACAACTTCTGCTTAATTGTACCACAAGAACATGTTGTATATCTAATCTAGAATCTAAACTCTTATAAATATAAGTTGACTGGAAAATATTGAGTATTTTTAGCTTATATTTTTCCCAGACCCCCTATTCTGTTTTTTTATCTTCACCATAAAAACCTGAAGGATAGTGGAAATGGGTACAACAGGTCTTAAAGCCCAAGTGAATTTTTCTGACTGTGAAGATACTTTCTGAGTATGTAATTTTGGCACCAAACTCTTAATCTGCAGAATACACGATTACCTTTCCCTTTAGCACATGGGACTGTCTGCATCTGCTGTAATACCACACTTTTGAATATTGATTCCCACTTCATTGCTTGAGCTGAAACAGAGGGATAGAGATGCAAGTAGAAAATAAACGTAGATTTCCAAACCCAAAATAAGTGAAAGCTTCCTAAGCTCCTGACAAGTGCTTTTCTCTGATTCAGGATATGTCCTTTCTCAAAATAATGAAGCGGTTGTCGCTTCTTGAAATAGCAACCAGGCCCAGACAACTCACTGCAGGCATGCTCTTAAAAAATATTTAACCCCCCCATTTCCCTGGTGTTTCAGGGAATTTCCTCACACAATCTGATGCATGCAAGATACAAATTTCATAGTCTATGTTTACTATTTCATACAAATTTATGCCAGGGTTTCTCTTTATAAACTTCTTTACTTGTACTTTGCTTACAGAACAAGTCCAAACAAACTAGTTTCTAACATAAACAAGTCAATAACATTATATACAACTTATTTTAGTTAATAGAATTATATGTGAGATATTGATTCTTGTATCCTGCAGAAATGGGAAACAGAGCAGGCATTTCTAAAGACATAAGAATGAGTGCTAAGTTCTATATGCAATAAATATAAATTTTAAATTATACATGGTAGACACAAAACAGCATTGATGCAGAGCACAGAGTCATTCATTGCTTCTGTCTTCAACACAGATGACCAAGAGGGTCTCAGTGCCCTGAGCTGAAGGACCATGACTGAGAGAATGATGAACTCCCAGTCAACCCTGAAACTGTACAGGATGTGCTGCTCCAGCTGGATCCCTAGAAATCTGATGGGATTCCCCCAAGAATCCTCAAAGAACTGGCTGATGTCATCACAAAACCTCTCTTGATGATTTTTGAGCAGTCTTGAGAATATAGAGAGGTCCCAGCTGACTGGAAGCTGATGGACGTTGTCCTGATTTTCAAGACGGGCAAGAAGGAGGACCCTGGAAATGACAAGCCTGTCAGTCTCACTTCAACGCCTGGTAAAATTATGGAGAAAATTATTCTGTGAAGTATTGAAAAACACCTGAAAGACAACACTGTCATTGTTGACAGCCAGCACAGCTTTATGAGAGGAAAGTCCTGCTTATCAAACCTGATTTCCTTCTACGAGAAGGTAACCCACCTAGTTGATCAAGGGAAGCCAGCTGATGTAACCTTTTTGGCATTTCAGAAAAGCTTTCAATATTGTCTCTCACAGTATTCTTCTGAACAAAATGTCCTGCACACAGCTGGATAAACACATAATATTATGGATAAGCAATTGGCTAAGGAGTTGAGCATGGAGGGTAATAGTGAATGGGGTGACATCAGACTGGTGATCTGTCACTAGTGGGGTTCCAAAGGGCTCCATCTTAGGCCCTGTGTCCTTCAACATCTTCAGAAATGACTTGGATGCAGGACTGGTAGGGATACTAAGCAAGTTTGCAGATGACACAAAACTCAGAGGAGCTGTTGACTCCGTCTCTGGAGGCCCAACTAATTAGAGGACTGGGCAATCACCAACCATATGAAGTTCAACAAGGAGAAGTGTTGGATTCTGCACCTGGGATGGGGCAACCCCGGATGTACAGACAGACTGAGGAATGAGATGCTGGAAAACAGTGCTGTGGAAAGAGAGCTTGGGGTCCTGGTTGATGGCAAGTTGGACATGACTCAGCAGTGCCCTGGCAGAGAGGAGGGCCAACTGTATCCAGGGGAGCATCAGGCAAAGCATCGCCAGCCAGTCGAGGAGGTGATTACCCTGCTCTGCTCCACGCTAATGCCGCCTCACCTTGAGTTTTGTGGCAGTTTTGGGCATCATGATATAAGAAAGATATTAAGCTATTAGAGAGTGTCCAAAGGAGGGCAACGAAGGTGGTGAAGGGCCTCGAGGGGAAGCCGTATGAGGAACAGCTGAGGCCACTTGGTCTGTTCACACTGGAGGAGACCTCTTTGCAGTCTACAACTTCCTCGTAAGGGGAAGAGGAGGGGCAGGCACTGATCTCTTCTCTATGGTGACCAGTGACAGAATCTGAGGGAATGGCTTGAAGTTGTGTCAGGGGAGGTTTAGGTTGGATATTAGAAATAGGTTCTTCACCCAGTGGGTTGCTGGGCACTGGAACAGGCTCCCCAGGGAAGTGGTCACAGCACCAAGCCTGACAGAGTTCAAGAAGCATTTGGACAATGCTCTCAGGCACATGGTGTGAATCTTGGTGATGATCCTGTGCAGGGCCAGGATTTGGACTTGATGATCCTTGAGGATCCCTTCCAACTTGGTATTCTGTGATTCTGTGATCCATGTTGTAGCTTCCAGATAAATTTACCACAATTACCTCAGGTAGGTCTTCAGCTTTATTGACAACAGAAAAATACAGGAAATACATAAAAGCAAGCCACAAATAGTTCACCTTTTTTTTCTGAAGATTTATTCAAATAATACAAATCACATGACAAAATAACTGCATTGCTAGCCTAGTTTTGCATTTAGTATTTCCAGGAAAAAAAAAAATCTTAAATTTAAGAGAATGAAAACAATATGCCTTAAAGTTGTATCAAAAAGTAAGAATGGTGGAGCATAAAGAATTTTCAAGTCTGGATGGTTTTCTCTGAAGATTTGCTGTTCATTGGAGGCAAAGAAGTGTCTGTCCATCTTTTTGAGTAAGAAGTGTTTCCCTTCCAACTTGAAGATCCAATTTAGTACACATTATAATAAATCTCTCTTCCAAAATTACTTGGATGTGCTAAAAATTAGAAAAGAAACATGGAAATATTTTGGCAATAGGAACTGTAAATCGTAAGTTTCTCCCTTCATCAAACGAAAAGCATCTTCTCTGTTCTTTCCAGTTTAACCCAAAGGATTTTATAGATGCCAAGCCCTATTTTACATCGATAAACCCAACAAGAGGAGGCGCACATTGGGGTTCCCCATAGGTGGGCAAAGGTCTGACAGGAGACCACATCCGCTTCTAATATGTCATTCACACTTTACATTTCTGCTATGAGCCCTTCTATTCACTTTCAAAACAAATAGTCTCAGCCTGTCTCTGTCCTGACAGGACCTGCCTTTTCATGCTGAAATTCCAGCTTTCTTAAAATCAGCAGAAGTTTTGACACTGAATTCAATTAGGGTCATGTTTTTGCCCTAATTTTTTGATCATTTTAGTTGATGATTTCGCTTGATCTCTGTATCCTGGCTTATACAGACCACTCAGATGAACACTTACCGTTCCTATATGTCAGATAGTTAACTATGTCCTATTTTTTCCTCCCTTTTTAACAAATCAAAGTGTTTGATTTGCTCTCTGCTAACAGAGCTAGGAATAGCATACCCTCAGTCTCCTCGTGCCCTGATTTGCAGTATATTGTATGTTACGAAGGTGTGGAATTGGATTAAAAGCTACAGCACAGTGCTCTGCAGATAAACCCACTGCAGGTGTGAAGTTTAATAGGATTTTAATTTGGTAACAAGTGAACGAAGAGCAGAAACCTAGAATGGGATTTTCTAGATGAAAAAATGTTATTCGTGCTGAAAGAAAGCAACTGCAAGCTCTGTGATAAGGAATAAAGATCAGGCCAATGCTCTCTTAGCTGCAGTTTTATAGATTACGGATCGCTCAGAACATCTCCCTTACTGCCACTGGTTTCATCAATTCTTAGTTCATACTATGTGTGTTTGGCTATATAGCATTTCCTCTGCCACACTTCCCTCTAAACCAGTGTGTGTACAAATCTTCTATTGTCTCACTCCCCTCCCTCTACATTTTTTCATATAAACCCAATGTTTTCATTGGGAGATGCCACCAACTTCGAAGGTATTCTCTCTTCAAAATTATTAACAATTATTTTCATGCTTCAAACTATATTTAAAAATAAGATTCAGAAATGTGCTACACTATTCAAAATAAATGGAAAAATATAGTCTCTCTGCTGAGGAGTGTAATTTATATTCAGCCTGAACTAAGAAAGAAAAACCAAAAACAGATGGGGAAGGAAGAGAAAGAACTAAGGTGCCAACTAAAAGATCATGAAGTGAGCTGCTAATCCACAGACACATATTGGTGCTGCTGATAACAGGGTAAGGTTGGGAGATTCTTTTCTGATTTCTGTTACCAGTCCTCCCTCTTGTTTTTCCAGGGTTTTATAGCACAACTAAGTAGTTAGCACTAATTTCAATGAGGTGAGGGTGGAGGTGCAATGAGCAGACTGGTTTTTTTCCCCAGCATGACAGACTGTAGAGAAGGCATAGAAATGCCTTGTGGGACAAGATTAAAATGCTATGGAGGTTGGTGTTGTTGGCAGTGAATGGAGTAGAGGATGGGAACTGACCAGTGGGCCGCAGAGAGCTGCTGAGGCTGTATGAGGTGAAGCAAAAATTATGAAATAAACCCATGATGCACAGAGCAATGTGTTAGGCAGCAGAAAGATAGTTCAGGAAAGAGCAGTGTGTCTGCTGGATGCCACTAAGGCTGCTGAGGCTTTAGATACCCAACAGAATGGGCTGTGGCCAAAAGGGTATTAGTCAGGAGCAGAAATGCTTGGGAGATGGTTGCTTGGGAGCATGATGATGATGATGATCAAAAGTCACAGAACAAAAATTCTCATGTAATGGGAATCTACTCAGAGGATCTATAGAGGTGGCCATACAAACAAAGTGGTGGGTGATGGAGATGCTTTTGTCAGCTGTGTTTTTTATCAACCTATGGAATTAGTATTGACACACAAAAAAAAAGGAATCTGCAATGGTTGAGGCGGGAGCTAACACCTGTTTGAAGAACACAAGTGGGCAGAAATGCTCACTCACTCTATCACAGACCCTGAAGCTCTTTTGAGCTGCAGCTTGAAGTTTTTCAGCTCCCTCAAAAAGCTGAACCACAACATCAACAAGCTCTTACCAGAATCTCTTTTTCATCCCCCCATTATCAGCATCTTGCATGTGGACTGGTAGAATCCATCATCTGTTGGCTTCTTTAATCTCTAAACTTTTTTTACACTCAATCCTTCACTGTGTCCTTTCATCATCCATAACTTCTCTCAAGTTGTCCTACTCCTCATTTCACGTTTTATACCCTTCCTCTCTTATACTGACACCTCTCATTCCTCATTCTAATCAGCCTTGCTCTGCTCTTGCAATCAGGTACGAAACATGCAAAACTGATAGACATATTTATAGGCACATCACTTACACAGACCAAACCTAGGTCAAACCCTTGTCTGTGTCTGGGTCAAATACCTGCAAAAAGTGTTGAAATGGCCATAGGAGGCCATATAAAAGCCCATGTGGGCAGCACAGTGAAGAGCATAGGAAGCAGGGCAGATACTGAATGAGATTTCTAGTGGTTTATTTCCTCATTTCTGATCATTAGTGATTTAGAGCTCTCCTGCTAATAGCTGGCACTCAGCTCAGTTTGGTTTTTGACTATAAGGTGGTATGACAGGATGGGTTATTATTTTATATTTGAAAAACAAAAAAATCTGTCAAACATGCCCATCACATGTATAAATCATTCTTAGTTTGTCCCCTTCATACCTGCTTTCTCCCCTCCAACTTTCATTGCTGAGCTAGTCTTAGCATATCCTATGTTTAAGAAATTAGGGTCCCCTAAGGGTTGTTAAAACTAATAAAGATGTTTTTAAAACAGTCAGTTTCCACTCCTGGTCCTAGTATATGGAAACTGAATACCTCTTGGGATTAAAATAACTATAGCAGGGTAGCCCCAAAAATGTAATTTTCTTTGTGCGTCTTGGTGCCGTTAACATTTGTCCTTCACAGTTTTCTGGAAAACACAGTGTTCTCTGAGATTTAAGATAGTGTCCTAAATTTAATTTCTCTTCCATGTTACTGCATGGAAGACAAATCTGAAAACAGCTGAATGTCTAATTCATCACTTGCATTAAGCACAGAGACTTGATCCATGTTCCCGTATGTCCCTATATTTTAACCTTGTATCCTAGAAGACTCAAAGTCTGTCTTGTTTTCTACCTGTATGCCTTACATTATGCTAGTAAGTTTGGAGCAGAGGACTGACTGCAAGGAAGTCTGGTGGAGAGAAAGGTCTCAAGGATTTAATTTTTCTGCATCTTTTGATAAAATTAACAGATAACTGGAGAGCAGACAATGCGCTCTCGTTGCTTCCAACAGTGAGAAAAGACCACACTGTGCCCTCTCTCTTCTGATCCATACATACATGCAGCCCATTTTGTCAGCTAGCCCACAGCCTGCTCCCAGCCTGCCTGAAAAGTACTGCTCTTCCTTAGGCAACGCCTAGGGAATCTGATGGAATACCAGAGGTCTGCTGGAAACCTAAGGAAAGATCAGGGAACTGCGGTACTGAAGAGGTGGGTGGTGTGGAGATTACAATCCCTTGATAGGATTGTGGGATGGGTGTGAGGTGTGAAGGATGCTTTATGACTACAGTTTTCAGTGACGTCGGACACAGCTCCATGAAAACCTGGATTTCATTAGTTGTACTTTACACGCATAAAAACCCCCAACCAAACACAGCCCTCCCAGTCTCTCCTAATCTACCCAATTTATAACTGGGTTTTTGTCATAGTTTTCTTTTAAGTTAATGTTAATTTCACCTTGCTGACAGTGGCTGTGTTCACCAAACAACTCAGAACTCTGGAAAATATTGCTTAATCCAAAATTATTCTGGTTCTGCATCACGAGAGCTGTCTGTGGAGCATTGGCTTGAGGCTGATCCTCTGCAAAACAGGCTGAGAGATGGCTGGGCTCATAAACACACAGAACAGGGACCTCATTTTGCTTTGCAACCAAGGAATTTCCATCTTCTTTCTCCTCCTCTATATAGGTCTGGAAAATGTGAGCCGCAAAATCAACGAGTAGCAAATTCAACAAAAGCCAGGATCCTAGTTTTAAAGAAAAACAAAGATAATTATGACAACCTTTTAATTCACTTATCTTTATGACATGTTCTTTTCTGAAGGGCTTTGTTACAGTAATGGGCTAGATAAAGTGGCAGATCAGCACTCATTGAACAGGACTTACGAAATTACATACTTCCAGATATCACTGCAAAAGAGGCACCAAGTGCAGATTTTAAACATAAGCAAAAGCTTTTTCCCTTATTCAACTTAGCGAGGAAAGTGTCTTTGTGTTCATTCACTTTCCCGTTCAAGTTTTTCCCCCACATTCACTTCTACTACAAGGCTTATCAGTAACAACGTATCATTCCCATTCTCCACTCAGACAGATAAATCATTCCACCTCTTCCCAAGCAAAACCTCCTACTGACATTTGTATGTCTTGTATTTATGACATTAAATGGCCTACACCTACCTTGCAGCCTGAGCCATAACTGCTAAAAGCCAAGAGAGACTCACTGAGGCCACTGACATTTGAATCATACCTTGATTGGAAGCCTTTACAGTAAAAATTAGATCTTCTTCCATGTCATAAATCTGTGTAGGAATTCATGAAGTAATTCATAACCTCTGCTTCCCACAGACAAGTTTACAGGGACATCAACAAGGAAGTACCACAATATATATGAACAACCAAGGTTTATAGAGCTTTAAAAATGAAAAATGTCTCTTTTGATGTTATATGTGTCTGAGAAGCTGCTGCTTCTGCTGTTCATCCTTTTGGGGGTCTTTAAACTATAGCAAAGTAGGTGGAAGCACTTGTTTACCTATGGAAAGGGATTTTTATAGTTGGAGTTGAAAGTATACAGACCTGACACTAGTAGTCCAAGAGTGTTTCTATCAGTCTTTCAGGTATTTTCAACATATTCAATAAGAGTAAGCATGAAACCAAAGCTACCACTCCAGTTGTCCCTTGGGATAATACAGAGGGACACAGTTTTCAAGAGGGACTAGGTTGAAGCAGCTTGCTTGCAAAGGAGGAATGCACAGGTCACTATCCAGACCTCGTGGCTTGGAACGCCTTGGAAGGTAGACCAGTGAGGAAACAGAGCTGTGTGAGCTGACATGAAACTCTATGAGGGAAGTATGTAGAGGCACAATTGCTGGAGAGGAGGTGGAGCTGAAGAAGCTGTAGAGGTCCCAAGTATCCCTGACTACGGCTCCACACTTGCTCCGTGCTGCCTTTCAGCAGGGGTAACTGCACAGTTCCTCCAATTGCGCTTAGGCATCACCCATGTGGAGGCTGGGCTGGGCTGGAAAAGGGTAACAGTCAATTCTAAATTCTGAGGTGTAAGTATGTCAGTATATTATGTGTGCTGGATGTGGCAAACTCCAAGGCAAGAGACTGAGTCAGAAGTAAGTTTGGTTTTGGTTACTAGTGTGTGGTTTATTTGGGGTGTGAGACACTGCATTTGGCTAGACACACTGGCACTCACACATTTCCCTAAATAATTGTGTGTCCTCAGTGTGGATGCTACATAGTTTGACTTGCAGGATGCCCACCATTCCTACAAGAAATGCTGAGATTTAAGAAATTTCTGAAAAGCAATGACCCTGAGAACTTTTACACCAGATGGCTTGTTAACAGAACTGCTTCAGCCTGTCTGCTAAAACTCAATATCCTAATGGAATAGAAACATGTGAAAGAAGGGACATCATTATACCAAATAACTCAACACCTTAAAGAACTGGGGTTATTAAGAAAGAGGATAATAATGACCAAATTACTGGAGCATCACAGCAAAAGATTAAAAACCATTTTTAACTCTCTCATATATGAGAATAAATTAAATCTTAGTGTTATTGAAGTATAGTAGGAAGACTGTCATGAGGTGAAAATATAAATTGTAACTACTTCAAGGAAGGCTCTGCAGAGGAAGACATGCACTTCGTCTGTTGCATCCCATCCTTTGACAACTGCAGAACAAGGAACCAATTCATGAAACTCTTCTTGCAGTGGAAAGAGGGAAGAGGATGTCATCATCATGGGGAATTTCAATAAATATTATGCTTCCAGTGCAGTTCTTGAAATTCATTCCCAGCTTCCTCGTTGCCAAGAATATTGCATGTAACATCAGAGAGTTTTGTGCAGAACTCCTCTGGAGATGAAGAAATGACTGATTATTTTATTATTACTGTAATGCAGCAGCTGATGGACAAGGAACCCTACTGTGCTCTATGTTCCTTGCAGAGACAGAACAAAACTCTGATCCTGTTTACGACAGTTTACAATCTAAACATAAGGCAAAAGGTAGCAAGCAGCTTGATGCAGAAGAAGGGTGTGTTCGTAGATGCACAAACACAGGCATTATTGGGGTAAGAATACTGAAGAACACAGAAGGCAACAACCTTAACAATACCCCTTTATTACGTCTTTGCAGGAAACACATGAAAGTACAGTTTTGAAGGGGCATCTCAAAGAAGATAATGAGGTTTTCTTTGGCTATTTATGTGAAGCCCCATCCAAGAGTTAAAAATATGAAGGTGCTGCTTTGAAATTCTAAATGGCGGTTCATAGAGTTTGGGATTAGATCACAGGAGATGGTGCATTTCTGCAGAATGAATAATAGATAGGAGCCTCTGAAAGGTGTTACAAATTACAAGAAAGGCAGTTAGGGTAGAGACTGATTTAAGACATGGTTGTATCACTTCAAATCACTTCAACTGAACATGACTGCACAGTTCCTTCACTTCTCCTGCCTTGCACTGGTGTGTTATGGATTTGATGTTTGACAGCTCAGAGCCCTAAAACAGAGAGAAAACTAAGCCAGCTAAAGGAGTGACTATTTTCAGTCAGTTTAACACCTTCAACAGGTGTGCTGCTGGCTAGGCAAGCATTCAGGTCAGTGTAAGGCATAAGGAAAAAGAGCATCTGGAAGGAGCTGTTGTCAGATGACCTAACTGCCTTTTTGGCAAGTAGTTATCACAGTGACCTACTCTGGCAGAGCAGCTCTTTCTGTAACATATAGAAAGAACCCGAAAGACTTGGAGCTATCATTTGAGAGACCTGGAATGTTTATGGTTTTGGGATATTAGTGACCCCAGCTCTCCATCACACCCTTCTGCTGTGGTGTGCAGCTCTGGTGTGGAGAGAGAACAGAAGCTCTCACTTCAGACTGCTGTTCTTCATTTCCCCACAGACAAACTATGACTTCTGCCAAAAGAGGGAGTCCTGCCCTTCCTGCCATCTCCAGCTGCGTGCTTCTGCTCTCCTCCCTTCTGCTAATCCTAGAGTTTTGCTCAGACAACTGGTCTAATAATTTAATTTCCCTGACCTGTCTATAGCCACATCACCAGGAGAATGGTGATTGAAGGAAGGGAGTAGAAAGAAGGGATGACTTTATTAAGTAGCATGAATTTATGTCAGTTAAAATCATGGAGTTACAGAAACAGAGAATAGTTTGGGTTGGAAGGGATCTTAAAGACCATCTGGTGCCAACCCCTCTGCCACACACCTTTCACTGGATCAGGTTGCTCAAACCCCCATCCAGCCTGGCCTTGAACTTCCAGGGATGGAGTATCCACAGCTTCTCTGGGCAATCTGTTCCACTGCCTGACCACCCTAACAGTAAAGAATTTCTTCCTAATATCTAATTTAATACTACTCTCCATTTAAAGCCAATCCCCATTGTCCTGTCACTACATGCCCTTATGAAAAGGCCCTCTCCAGCTTTCTTGTCAGCCCCTTTAGGTACTTTTAGATCTATTGCCTCTGTCATCTCAGGTCAGAAAGGGGCATATGAAATGAGACTCACAAAGATCCTACTTACCAAAACTGTCTGTTCTGTTGATGGTCAGAATCTTGCCTACAGTGCTCAGTAGGAGGTTCCATTTCAACATAAAATCTGATGCCTGCTTTTTAAATGTCTCTTTACTCCTGCTTGGCTGCAGATAAAGAAAATAATTGGTTTATGATAAAGTTGATTAAAAGAATTCCTTACTGTGTGGCAGACTGTACAAACTGGGAAATAGTTTCAGGTTTTTCAATACAAAGGTGGAAAAAGCAACAAATTTTTTTTTCTGTTAGAATCCTAAAATAGCTGAGGTTGAAAGAGATCTTTGGATATTACCTAATCTGATCTCCTGTCCAAAGCATGCCCATCTTAGTTCAGGATTTGTCCAACCAAATTCTAAATATCTCCTGAATAAAGATTCCACAGCCTTTCCAGGCAATCTCTTCCTATGCTTAATTACTCTCATAGTACATTTTTTTTCCTTTCTATTGCCTTATGCCTTACAACTGTGAAACCTCAGGAAAAGTCCTGCTCTTTCTTCTCTATACCATCCCATGAGGTAGCTGAGGGTTCTATGAGATGAATGCACCACAGAACTGCAAAGTATCTTTCTTGATTTAAAAAGGAAGAAAATAAGTCAAATAAGTATAGTTTACTTTGTTTCTTCAGAAAGAGAAAAAAATTACCCAAACTCTAAGTGTCACCCAGACCCAAGTTAACTGGCCTGGCAACCAACCCAATGCAGCATACAAGCTACTGCTAATTCTGAATCAGGGAAGGAAGAGGGATGGTAGAATGGGTAATCTATCAAAAGGTACATATGTGAGGATGTTCATATTTGAACATTTCACAAGAGCTAGAGACTTTGTACTAGAAGTTGTCACTCTCCTACTACCTGCTAAAAGCCAACAGTTTAGTGAATCAAGGATTTCAGGGATTAGGAAGGATTCTTTTCATTTTTAATAGCATATTACTTTTGAATTTTGGTTTATTAGCAACTGCAATAATATGTGTCTATGAAATGAGAGCAGATACTGAAACCACTTGACTGGATATATGTGCAGAAATATGCTTGTAGTTGTTTGCACAGATGGAATTTTTGTATGCCAATTAATTTTCCATTTTCTGCAGCATGCATAAATTGTATCTATGCAAATCTGCAGTCTGGTCAGGTTGCTAGTGTGCAATGTAGCTCCTGCAGACTAGTGACAGTCAGCATGTAGCAAGATAAATGATGTGATCACTCTTTCTTTACTGAAATTATTAATTTTATACCTTAATGACAAAAGTCTGAAGATCTGAAGAGAAACAACTCAGGAGATCTCGAATATCTGTGGAAGATGTCAGCGAAGAAATTAAGTTTTTCAAACCTGTGAAATATAGAAGAGAGATCATTACATGAAGTGATTGGCTTGCCTTTTGGTTTGTTTCTGCACTTTTTAGCTTTCTTTTTCTTTTATCTTTACCTTAAATAGATTAAGACATCTGTTTCTAGTATTTTGATTAATATATAGTACCCTACTTGGACGTGAATGTGAATTCTGACTGATTTCAATTTCCACCATAACTCCACTGACCTAGTCATCATGGCAAAGATGACAAGAAAAAACACTTCTAATGAAAAAGCTGGAATTTGGTTATAAGTAATACTAACATATGTATTTGAGATTTTTTGTGGTTGAGAAAAAAAAAATGTTGGTTTATCTCTTGAAGGGAGAAAACAGTTTTAAAACAATAACATTAAGTGCAGAATATTCTATAGGCCAACAGAAATACAGATAATGTTGCCACATATCAGTGCAGCTGTTCCCTCAAAAGATTGGAACCTACCACCCAATGCCAAAAGGGAAACTGCATCTCTTTGAGTTTATACCCTTCTAACTGAGATATCTTCCTTCAAGAAATCACATGTATAGAGTCTGTGAAACCTTGCTTATTATAAATAACAGTTTGCAAAAGCAATGAAAACAGAGAATGCAATAAATCTACCTTGGAAAGTGTAAGATCATGATAATATAATGGAAAAATGTAATAAGAGTGTTCTGCGCAGTGGTTTTGATTTTAACATGTATACAAATATTATTGAAATGGTTCTGCTGATTGTTCTGTGAAGAAGGCAAATTATTATTTCTGCTGAAAGCAGTCACAGAAAGTCTGTGGCATATCCCTTGTCAGTGCACAAGTCAGTGACGGAGCAGGAACAAAGAGCTGAGGTTTCCCTCTGTCAGTTCTGTACACAGCCTAGTCCAACTTGCCCATCTCTTGCTAACATTTTATATCATAGACCATTAATTAAAAATTAACTTGCCATTATGTTTCTCTTCCTTTTCATTAAGCTGGCAAATACATTATGTCACAGCTGCATACAAACTGAGTATTTTATTGTTTACAGCACAACATTGATCCCACAGGCCACAATACAGCAAAATGACATGAAAGCTGAAAGGCTTTGTCCATTTCAGCATACAGTATTTTAAAACCTAGCCATAAGAAATGATTTTATGTGCTTTGATTAATAACAGAGAAAAATGTAAAATGTGATGATTGAAAACATCTTTTCTGTCAAAGGAAAGAAAAAATTAATATCCTTCCTTGCCAACCTTCTTCTAGAAGATACATAATTCAGTAATACAAATCCCACTCCTACTGCCACAAAAAGCTTTCAGAGAGAGTCAGAACGGACAGCCTTTAATTCTTAACCTTTAGAGTTAGGAGGATAACACCATGTGATCCATTCTCAATTTTATTGACTTTTTTCCAGCTCTTTGGGTTACAGCAAGACAGTAATTCCCATTAGGGCAGATGCCATGAATGAGCAAGAGGAAATGTTAGAGCTTTAACAATGGCAAGCAAGGGCTTAAGTGGATAGACAAAATATATATAAAAAAAAATTACATTTGAATTGTATATTTTTCTGCCGCTTCTTTGGATTCCTAAACTTCTCTCGAAAGAGGTTTTTAGTGACATCCAGAGATTGCTCATTAAAGACAGCATGCAAGCCTGATCGCAGAACAGTGACTGTGCTGTTGTTGTTCAAGAGTGCTCTGACTGTCTGTAGAGAATAAAAAAACAGTTAGTGCCTTTCATTCTCTCAAGCCCTTAAGTCAGCCAAATAAGGAAATTGAAAAAGGAAAGCTTCCCTTTCTCAACACTAGACTTCATATGAGCAGACTCCAAACTGGGAGTCAGGGGGTACAGGATCAAAGGAGATAAGAAGTTGTCTTCAAGAGATTTTTGTTCTTTCCAATGACACTCTGTGTTGTCTGCAATGAAGCAGACAAGGCTAACATGCTTGAATTATCTGGGCAATTGCCTGGGCAATTGGTTTTGCCTAGAGTTACTGTAATTACACCAAATAACAGTATTTTGTCTAAAGCTTGGGATGGTGTATCAGGGACAGCTTTCCCTTGATGTTACCTGTCCTTAATACATGTTTCAATTAAATTCAAAGGCAAATTCAATTCAATTCTCCAGTTGTCCAAACCTTTGAGAGAGTAAAAATGACATTAGAAATATGTTTATTAGTTAAAATAATATCAGTTGGGATTTTATCCCATTTATCTGCTTATGAGTCATTTGTGAATGAATCTGTCTTCAAATTTGTCCCAAAAAGTATTATTCACATAGATATCGCAAACAATTTTCAGACTAACATTTGATCCTCATCTCTTCATCTTTTTTTAATTAATTGCTAACATCACATAGTATTCCTTAAAATTCTTGATGAAATGATGAAAACAGTCAAGGACACTAAATCCAAATCCATTAAATTTTGTTAACCCATACATTTGATGTCCCACTTCCGTACTGAAATTAGTAAGATCCTAAAGCCTTTTTTGGATTTTGGGCTTTTATATGAATAATCCTTGTCCAGTTGTGCCTTCCAGAGGAAAAAAAAAGTTTTGTAAAATTCAGGAAAACTTCATGATTCATAAACATTTTAACAAATCCCTTTTACCGGGTGCTTACCATGACCCCACAAGCAGCAGTGAATGCAGTTTGTTTGCAAATACAATTTCCAATCTTGTCATTCTGCTAACTTTTTTGAAACACTAAAAACATTCTGATTCTCACTCAGTAATCCCCTTCATCTAAGTTAAAGACAAAGGCATTTTTCTTATTTGACTTGGAGTTTTCAGTATCAGAAGAAGAGCCTGCAACAAGAACACATGATCCAAAGGCTAGGAACTACCAGGGGCAGCTTCTTCAGTACCCTGCTAGCACCTGACTCCATGCCCCAACACTGCAGACTTATCACTTTAGCCATTGGACTATACTAGATATAATTTTCTAAATGACAGCACTTAAATACAACTTACCAGAGGCAGGAATCAGCTCCAGGAAATGACAAGCATCTTATTCACATTCCTTTTTCAAAGGGAATTTACACCTTTTTATGCTCTAATTATTTTTGCATGTCCAGGTGGTAGCAGCTGTCAGCCTGTTTTATCTACACGTGATGGGAAATTTACTTTTTTTCTTTTGAATGCTGACCCTGACAAAATTGTTCATATTTTCTCACCAGATGGCTAAATTATTGCAAAGTACTCTACAAGGGATGGTGTGGTTACAGTGTTCAGAGGCTGCAGCTGCACTGTGCCTCTGTAGTACTTCTTACCACAAGCACTCTCACCTGCTTTGACCATAAGTCTCTAGCTGAAATCCCAGGTGTGTTTTAGACAGAGAAAGCAGAGAAGGGTAATTAGAAATATCAAATTACTCCTATGTGAGAAGAGGAGATAAACTTCAGATTTGGATAGCAATAACTGAGGAAGGATGTGATGGAGATTTGCAGAGAGAATTGCATGAAGAAGAGTAGAAATTTTTTAAATAATAAAGTATTTTTTCACACAACAAATAATCAAACCCTGGAACTCACTACCTCAAGATGTTGTGATGTCAAAAATCAAGCTATTTAATACCATGATGTGGATATTAACTGTCATCTCAGATTGCCGGAAGCCAGGAGAGTACAGTGGAAGAGGAGGAAGGTATTGCTTGCTCTACTCACACCCACTTCACATGACCATCTGAGGAGGGCAACAGTGTGAAACAGGATACGAGTCCACACAGGCCTAGGATGGGTCTGACTAACTAAACCACTCAGCAGTCTTTCTAAGGGACATCCAGTTGCCCATGAACCATTTGCATATTTTTCGCAAGCTGAAAAGTCTAAACACCTGTGGTGTTCATCTCACCATCTCGTGCCTTGGACAGGGTGACACAATTTGCAGGAAGATATTAACTGGTATTTCTTTCCTACCCTGTTTCACTGGAGCCCAGCACCCATGGCTTTGGCAAGATCTATAATAGAAGTTATAATCAAGGCTATGTGACTGCTGAAGGACTACAGAGATGCTCATTTACAAGACTTACGCAGTCTCACTTATTGAAATTACTGGTTTTAAATTGATGATGGGACTAATAATCAAGTACAGTGGAACTCCTTTGCTTTTCCCTTGTATTTTAAAGAAGCTCTAGAGAAGGTACAAACATTATTTATTTGTGAGAGCTGTAAGTGTAGATTTGACCCCGATTCTTGGGTCTGCTGTGCTCACTTTGTGCTGATTAAACAGTGTAAAGGGGATGTAGAGCAGCTAGAAGCTGCTGTTAGAGAATTTCCCCAACTAGCTGCAATTCTCTTGCCCTAAATCTTGAGGGCATAAATCTAATTTTGACTCTCTGCAGCTTTTCTGCACATTAGGAATAGGGAGGGAAGACTCAAAAGCTACAACCCACCCTTTAACATTACAAGAAGAATGATGTGAATTCTGAGCATGCAAATCAAATGCAAATGGCTGGGAATAGATGACACTTGTGATCTTGCTGGATCATATTCTTCAATGCATAAGAAGCCCTGTTTTGAAGCACATAAAGCTAAACTTTTCGGTTATTAGTATCTCCAAGGGCTGCTGCAGTAGATGGAAACTCTGAGTGCTTAGCACTTTACAGAAGTCAACTTGTTGCCTGTGTTAGCACACCTATGCATGTTTGTGCATTTTTTTTTTTTTTAAGTGAGATGGGTGTGTGTTTTGTATTCTGCTGGTGATGAAGCCTTCCTTCATTCATTCATTCCTTCCTTCCCTCCTTCCTAGTTCCCTTCCCCCTCTCCCCCCCCCCCTTTCTCTCTCTCTCCTTCCCTCCTTCCCTCTGTTTGTCGTGGGGAGATAACACAGTGATTCAAGTCAGGTGGCATGTTGGGGAAATCTTGTCCTTGTTGTTTGAAGGAGAGAATATACCACCTGTTCTCTTTTGCTTTCTTCCCTATTTCTGAACTACCTCTTCTGCCATGACCTGGCCCAACTCAAAACACAAGGGTTTGTAAGGATCCAAGGACACCAATGGAAGAAATATTGCAGAAAGGGTACAGTCCTGCATAATAATGCAGCACTGAATGAAACAATTTACTTTGCCATGTTCAGAGGTTTAAAAATGCAGCTTCTGAAGGCACCTCTGTAGCTGAGAAGAATGATACTGCAGAGCAAAAAGCAGGCAGAAATATTAATTGTTAGAGAGGTTCTTCTCTTTTTCTTCACAAGGAAAAAAGCCAATCTGAGTGACCGGACCCTGAGGAGGAAAGGGTAGAGGAGGCTACCCTGCATCCCTCTTTTCTAACACTGTTAAAGCAGAGGATGGAAAAGATTTTTCCAGCTGAACCCTGGGGTCTTGAGCCCTTAGACACTTCATGGCCTACTCCCTGACCACACAGCTTCTCCACAGCCAGTGTGTTAGTGATCTCCCTTGTGCAGGCTGCTGCAGCACTTGTCAGAGTGGTCAGGATGTTGCACAAAACCAACTTTAGAATAACTCCAGCATGCGCTGTCTGACTGACTTTGTCATGGATGAGTGAAGATACTGGAAATTGTCATCTGATCCTTCCAGCTACTGTGTTCTCCTCTCCATGGGGGACCACTGACCACATCTCAGAGGCTTTTGCAAAATCCAGAAGGAGGAAAAGGTCCTGTCAGCATACTTAACGATGTGGGAAGAGGTGAGTAGGAGGGTGAGCATGAGTTAGACCATGATCAGTTAAGAACACCCATGCTGCTGCTGCTATTGTCTTATAGTGGAGCATCTGAAAATTAGTCCAAACTGCTTATGTGAATGAGATGCCCAGCTTTTTTGCTTCACAGGTTCTGCAACATACCTTGGCCATGTTACAAAGGTCTGTCTGTCTCCTGAGTCTTTTTACAAACTCTTTAACTTCTGTTAAAGAAGAAGAGGCATATGTTTCACATCATTAATATTTTACAGTCTAAAATACAATAATGAAGACAAATCTTTTAAGTTAGAAAGTAGATCCCTAGGGGAGCTTTGGAGGGTAACAGAGAGCACAGTGGGGGCACTGAGCCAGCATTATAGGCTGGGCTGGGGACCCTTGCAGTCAAAGCTTGCAAGGAGAAGCTGCCTGGGTCGCCATTCTTCCTTCACTGTGAATCTATTAACCCATGATGTACAGGAAAGATACTTTCAATATTTTTTTACATTTAATACTTCCTAATTAAGACTAATGCTCTTTTGCCTGTATGGTTTCAAGTGAATGAAAGCAACTGTAAATCTAAACCTCCTGTATTTTGTTTAGACAGTTTACATTTCCACCTTTATGCATCTATAATTCTACAGCACTGTGAATAGGAGTTGGTTTTTTGGTTCTACTTTTGTCCTGTTTATGTGTTATATAATTATGAAAAGGTCCAAGAATACACTTCTTAAGAATAAAATATAAAATAACTAATTTTCAGTTGCAGGAAAATCAAGTATAAAGCAACTTCTCCAGACAGACAATGATTTTCAGTGAAAATTTCTGTTTCTATGGTGTTTGTACAAAGAAGAAAGACCAGGCTGCATATACAAAGGGTCATAGGTGATTATTGACATATATGTCCATGCACACACATGTTAAAAATACATTACTAAGTTTGCTCTCTCAAGCATTCAAATGTAAGAAATGCCAGAATTAAGTTTGTCTGAAAGTCTTTCTTAGGCATATGAATCCTAATACAATCTTTTGTCTACAAAGGAGCCCTGCTTTACCACTACGGAGCTGGTCTTCAGTCAAGGAGCAACTGAGCAACATGATGTTTTAGTCAGAATCTTCAGCATCATATATATAAATATACACATGTGTGTATGTACATATTTACAAATGTAAACATATACACACAGAGTATATATATGTATATATACTTTATATATGTAGAGTACGGAGTTTTTCCAATCATCCTCAATTCCTCTATTTTTCCAATCATCCTCAGTTCCTCTAATGGAAGTCATAGTTTCTCTATAGGAGTGTGGCTTTTTTCCCCTCCCTTTATATTGGACTGTGCTATAGCCATTAATTAATTTATCAGCATAAAACCAATTGCAAGGCAAAGAAACAGAATAATATCTAAATTTCAGAGGGCAGGCTACTTATTATTTGGTTATCTACACAGCCAAAGCAATCATGGCAAAAGACAGATTTTTAAAAAGCTTTAAGTATACTTCAATTTACCATAAATTGGGAATAATTCTGGTTTAAATTTGTTCTCACACATTATCTGAGACTATTTATTTTTCACTGTATCCCAGCTAACTCTAGTTGTTGCTACTATTGAAGTTACACTAGCTAAACAAGTTTTTAAAATAATTTAAGAGTCTTGTAATACAATCTTTTCTACAGTTTAATGAGAAGTTATTTTTGAAAATTTCTCTTACTCAAACCTACCATTAGATTTGGATGTTTGGAGCATTAGTGGAAATCCTCCCAAAGGATTAAGCATCCAACATTTAACATTTTCACTGAACAATCTGATTGAGTCGATGTGTTGTGCAGGCACCTCCTCCAGGAAATCAGGAAGTAGGATGTTCTCCAGTTCCTAGAATGCAAATTCATGGCACTGCAGCAGATGGGTGTACTACAGATATTTACAGCATCACCAAATAAAATTTTATTGATAGTTTAAATGTAAAGAAGCCCATTTTTTTCTTCCAATTAAGCAAGAGCTAAGCTACCTTTATTAGCAGAAGAAAAAGATTTTAAGACTAAATGTTGTTTCCTGAATTAATTACTAGACACTACTTAATGACCTGCTGCAAGTAAGAAGCAAATTATTTTTATCAGAAAACTGCATATTTCTATGTAGAATGTCACTGACAAGTGCAGTAGTGTTCTCAAAGGAAAAGTAACTCTCATAATCTGGAAAACAGTTATCAGTTGAAATTTCAGTCACATAACCTCATGCCAGAACCACAGACCACATTAATAACAGCACATTCCATTGATATCGGGGACTTTCAAATTAATACTTAGGAGGAAAATGGAAGCTATCTCAGATTCCACTGGCTCCTTTCAAAACACATACCATTCTCTCTCAGAAGAAGCCAAAGAACAGAGATGAGGTACGAATGAAAATTCCATTTGTACAGCACACAAGAAACAGCTGACCTTTCTCCTTATATAGAATTACTAAAAAAACACAAACATGTAGTAACATAATTACGACAAGCAAATGCGGCTACAATACCTTGAATAGATACCTATCATAGCTTTTTAACAGCTGGCACACATCTGGCAAGCACATCAGTTCTATTCTTTCGGGCTGCAGAGACCTCCAGAACGACATGATACAGTCTTCTACCTGTCACACAAAGCCCTTTATGAATTTTCACTGATTTTGCACTTGTGAGATCTGAAGTGTATTTCAATAAAACAACATACAAGCACAGAAGCAAAGGAATGACTGTGGAGATGGGCTCTTTACCTGGGCCCATCCTGGCTGGGCTCCAGTGTAAGGGGAAGCGTCCTGGGGAGATGGCAACAACCTGAACCTCATAAGGCAGTGTAGGAAAGAGAGGAGAAACAAAGAATTGTGCCATGGACATGAAGATATAATGAAAGATATGTGTCCGTGGCCGTGTGTTATATGCTGGGCTCAGACCTTTTGATGTCCCAGCCGGGCTCAGGATATGTTGCAAACTCAGATTCTTGGAACATGTTGTGTTAATTCAGAATTTCAAAATAACTCGACTGAATGCTCCTTTATTCCGTAAATGATCATCTACTGTAGATCAAATAATGAAGTAAATATGCTACACAGACACAATTTTTTTCTTATAGTTGTTTGCTGTTGTCAGTATAAGTGTTATTAAAGCAAAGGCATACCTTGTCAAGCTTGTTCTCTCTCACCATTTGTAAAATAACTTGACAATAGTTGTAGTAGTCATTGGCAAGCAGTGCAATCTGTGACCAAAAAGAGAGTACAAAATGATCTCACAGCAAAAGAGCTAACTTGCTTTATGATAAGATACTTTGAACGTACCATTTCGTAGGGGTCTGTCTCACTTTGCACTTGCTCTCCAAGGAAGAACTGGTTGAATTCAGGAAAAAGGTATTGAAATGTCTCTTTCTCAGCCTTTAGATAAATGACAGATGGATAATACTCCAAATTCTTACTCTTGATGCATCAGAATTTATTTTGAACAATAAAAAGAAAAAAGATTGCAATTATTTTGTCAGTTCGGTTAGAGGTATTAAGTATTTTCAGTATTTTCTTTTCTTTTTTTTTTTTCTTTTTAGAAAATTGGGATAGATGAAAGAAACAAGCAGGGCTGCCTAAACATTTAAATCCTAAACCATACATGAATTTCTTTTTAAAACCAGTAAATATTTAATGCAACACATATCTTCCACATATATTTTCTATAGCACTCATGTCACACTTGTAACCTTCTGCGTAAGGCTGAAGGTAGTTGTCAGGGTGACAGCACACCTCTCATTGGCCACCATTACATCCACTTCAGAGCACTCATTACTGCACCCGAGCACTCCGTAAAAGTAAGACAGACATCCAGTCTCTCATTTTTTCCTCACTTTGATTCACATAAGTTTGTTGCTCATGCTCTGCTGGCTGATGTTGAACAAGCCATTCCATGGCAGCTCACTGAGGGGAGAACTGCAATAGGTTACCTGTGCATCCATCCTTTTCAGTGAGCAGGGGTTATGCTCTTTTTTCTTAATCGTTTCCTAGTATTTAAACACTTATCATGCCATCTGAGCATGTTGAAAAGACACTGTCTCACCAGCATGAGGGCCTGGTACCATGGGCCTCAGGCAAGGAAGGCAGTACCCCACTAACTCCCCTAATATTCAAAACCTGGGCTGTCAGCCGTAATTTCTGCTCTCAGTACAGACAAAATTATTTGAGCTGACGTTAAGACAACAAAAATATTTAGCTAATGAATGAGATAGGAGTGGGGGAAGTAAGCACGTAGTGAGATTACACAGACAAAGATTATTTTGAAGAAGATGGGCTAACTGTATTTCATCAGAACATATTAGATAGCAGTTCCAACTAAACACACAGATTGACATTTTGTTATGTCTAATGTATCCGAAACTCACTGTTCCTTTTTTTTGTCTATTCTTCTTGTAATCATCTGCATTTTCAGAACTCCAGGAATTATTACTGTGATAAAATATACAACAGAAAAAAAATAAACTTTTAAAAGCTCACCAATTTATTCTGTATTTAGTAAGAAAATGAGCTCAAACTGAATAGAGTACACTAGGTTGGAGCATTGTGTTTGGGAAACAAACCCTGTTCTCTTTCCTATCATTCAGTGGTCCCATGATTTTCTAACAAATCTGAAGACAACTCTCTTAATTTTAAGATAAAACTGAAATATTCGTTATAAAGACAACAAGGTATTGGCCATTTAGCAGCACCATGACTTTAAACTTCTTGCACCAGAATCACAGGTTTGTATTTGTAACAGCAGTTTGTTTGGAATGGCAGTAATTATTATAAGCATGAACATAACAAAAGCATAATCATCCTTGTGCTTAGATTTCACAGTTATGACATTTTCTGCACTGTACCTCAGTTTAAATAGCATTTTGTTTCTGACTTTCACCCATCTACTTTGCAAACTGGCCACGATGCTCCATACAGTCTGAATTTACTTGGTCCTGCACAGGCTTGGTCAGTGGTTTTTAGCTGGAAAGCCAGGGATGAGGGCACAACAGGCTACTTTATTGCTGGACCATACTGTCTCCTACCTGCCTCCCTGCCTGTTTTGCTGAGGCTAAGGCTGGTGGAGGGAGAGACAACGTTGCTAGTAAAAGGGGAGCACTGTGAGAGTTGGATGCCTCCAGTCAAGCCTCCATTTGCTGCTGACATGTGCTCACTGTCTGTGAAGGCATTTCAGACTCCAGGGACCTTTTGGACTCGGCTGTTTTGAAGGGTGACAGACAGGGGCATTGTAGAAAATGTGCTTCCACTGGTGATTGCCAACACTCAGGCTATCTAATCAGAACTTGGCTGCTGGGTTTCACTGCTGTGATGTATTATAAAACAGGGTACCACCATACGTCCTGAAGGGGCATAGGATAAAATGTAACAGCTTGAATCGCTGTCTGAAAATTGCTGCCTGAAAACTCTGGCCACTGAAAATGCTTCCTCTCACTTATCTGCTCCTCACAGGACTGACTCTTGCCACCTTTCCCTCTGCCACTACTCTGTGCCATGAAGGTTGTGCTCCAAAGAAACAACCAAACTGGCTGCCCAAGATAGGGAACAACATTTATGCTGGGCATGTTTGGTAGTGCTGGTGACTCTTTCTCCCAGACATTTTAGAGGTGGTGGCTGGACAAAGGGAAAGACATGTAAGTAGAGACATTTTATAACTCTTCTTTCGAATGAGTCCTTCCTGCAGATTTCTAAAGCCTGTGAAACAAAATTAATGAATATTTTCCAGCTCCTGCTCTCCCTGAGAAGGCGGCCAGCTGTATTTTTTTGCTGCCGCTACTATGGCAACGTGTATCAGCACTGCTCGCCTCCAGTGGGTTGGCTCCCACGGCAGGCTGGCTCCCACTCCCCCCGCACAGGGACATCGAGGGGTGAGAAGGGGTGCTGCATGCATTCTTCTGTGCCCCGGCAGCTAGCCGGGAGCTCAGTGGACATTAAATGGAATATCTATGGAATGCTAACATCTATATGCCCCCACTGTCAGCAAAGGGGATTGAGATTCACCTGGTGCCTGCAGAGGTGCTTGGCTGTACTTCAGAGATGCTCATTTCCCCTGGCGAGCAGTTCCTGGGTAAAGACAAAACACAAAAAAGAGGAGGTGGGTGGGAGAAGGGGAAAATGGGTGACAGCAAAATCACAAGGAGATTCACTGTCTCTCTTTCAGAGTTTAGATGATGCTGTGGAGTGGGAACTAGAGCTAAAATGGGAAATACAAGATAGGGGAAGACAAAAATATTAACAGAGGCAAATGGGAAGGACAAAAGAAAAATGAAAGGAGGAAAGGTGGTGAATGTGCATGCTGTTGACTGTTAGATTACACTGAGATTAGAAAGTTAATTTGCTAGAATCATATCAGATTTTTTTAATGAAAAAATCGTGGGTTTGCTTCACTAGACAGTCAGGAGCCCAAACCTTCCCTATTGCTAGAATCATAAAGCAACTCTTACAAAACCAAAATTCAATTACTTTTTTTTTAACATTGCTGTAGTCTGAGCCACAGAAAGTAGCATCTTAGGGAGTGTTTGTCCTCAAAGCTCCCATTCCTAGAGGGAACGTATTCCTATTATAATGAAAATCGGTAATTAACATATTCCCTTAATGTCTGTAATGCATTTGGAGTCCTATGGATTACAGTTGTGCTTATTTGCACTATTTTCATAACATCATTGTCAAAGCTGTGGTACACAGATCTTCAAAGATTCAAAGATTTCTAAACGAACCAGCTCACAGGTGGTTCTTATTGCTCCTTGTGTGAACATGTTCCAATCCTGACACATTCGAGGCCCCACTGACTATCAACATGCAAATGCCTTCTTTGTATTCAGAGGCACACCATCTTACTGCCATTTCTATGACACCAACAAGCATAGCTCCCAAGCTGCCAGATCCTTCAGAGCCCTAATTCATCACTACCAGCACCATATCAATTGCTGACTATTTCATCATGGTCAAGAAATATCCTTTTCAGTAATTAGAAAGAATGGTTCATAGTTTTGAAACAATCATTTTCTTCACCAACCCGCAGGGTGGATGGATGCCTTGGTCTCTAAACTGGGTCCTGGGGTCCACCTTCCCCAGAAGGTAGGTGCAGCAGAAAAAGGATGTGCATGTTGGACTTTATTTATGGATGGGAGGGCACAATAGTAATTTAGGACACATTCACTACTGAAACAGATATCCCCTGTCCCTTCCAGAGGGAAGTGGCAACAAGCCAGAGAAATATATCCCATTACAGGAGTCTGCCACAGACCAGCATTTGAACTACACTGAAATGGTATATTAAAAATCTTTTTCACTCTAATTTGGAAATTTCCACACCAACACACTCTCAAAAACTGAGGTGTTATGTGTCAAATACCTGTGGCATGGGTGTACATACCTATGTGAGAACAAAATTTCTTCTTGCAGGTAGAAAAGTCTAAAGTTTTAATTATTATTTTTCTAAATTTCAATTTTATAATTAAAAAACAATCTAGAATTTGCCATTGCTATTTTACCAGCTTTGTTGGATCATAAAAAAATAACTGTGATTTTGAAAATTACTGAACTTGATGAGATATTTCCTTGATGTATTCCTACTTAAATGCAAAGAATGTACAAAACTCCATACAAATGAAAACTAACTGATTTATTAGGTTGAAGCTGATGCTTATTTTGTATGTGACCTAATTATTTCTTTCAAAGTTGTGCTACTCATGTTTCTCTGGCTGTGTCTTGTGCTTTTTTTACTACTTTCTCTCTGTTTTTTCCTGCTGTGCTCCATGAGACACTAAGAAGTAATTGTGACACCCGGCTGTCCAGGTTTTGTGGGGCTGTATGTTGGCTTGGGACAGAGACCTGTGGCTGCATTTAGAGTGGAAGCTGTTCTGATTTCAGCTGTCTGGCTTCACTCAACAGCTTAGTGTCTTCTAATATCTGTCTGAAATGAAGGAAGCATCAGACTAGATAATTTTGTAGTTAAGGGACTTTTCTATTGCAACTAGAAAGATGGCTTCTATCTAAATAAAATCTTTATATTTTGATTTATTTTTTTTAATACGAAAAGTTATAGAATCATAGAATAGTTTGGCTTGGAAGCAGCCTTCGAAGATTATCCAGTTCAACCCCCCTGCAGTGGGTAGGGCACCTTTCCCTAGACCAGATTGCTCAAAGCCTCATCCAACCCGGCCTTGAACACTTCTAGGGATGGGCATCCAGAATTTCTCTGGGCAACCTGTGCTAGTGCCTCACCACCTTCACAGTAAAGAATTTCTTCCTAACATCCAATCTAAACCGACCTTCTTTCTGCTTGAAGCCATTCCCCCTTCTTCTATCACCACATGCCCTGTATAAAGTCCCTCTCCAGCTCTCTTGTAGGCCCCTTTTAGGTGCTATAAGGTCTCCCTGGAGCCTTCTCTTCTCATGGCTGAAGAAACCCAACCCTCTCAGCCTTTCTACAATAGGACAGTTGTTTACGTTAAGAAACAATATCAAGATCAGTAGCTAGCTAGTTTATTTCAGCCCTTTCCCTGGAATACCTTCCCTTTTCCTTGGTTTGACCAAATTAAATATAGTTTTTTAGGAATAGGTGTATGGGCAGGGACCTCTGCTGGTGGAGAAGGAGATGGAGGTCTGCAGCTAGTGCATCAGCTCCCCTATGGTTAAGCATGGGCTGCAGAGTGTTCCCCAGCCCATTGGAGAAGTTGGCTCATTTCCATGAGGAGGGCCAAGAACAGAAGCTATGCTGGCATATGTGATGCATCTGTCTCCCAGTTGTAGCTTCTTTTTGCACCCGGCCCAAACTTAGTCAGCACTGGTTCTTTGATTCCTCCTGCTTTTTCTAATTTTTCCTCATGTTTCTATGCTGAGAGGAAAAAAGAGCAACAATTCAAATTGTTTTGTTCTCTCTCATCTCTCTTGTGACCAGAACGACCAGCTCTCCGACTATACCCATCAAGATTGCTGTTTCCAAGTGATGCTGCAGGAAAACTTTCTTTCCCTGAAGAAGAAAGACCGGCATAGACTTAGCCAGAGACCTCTAATGTTTCTTGAACAGTGGACAAGACCTTTCCTAATTGTGGATATCAATTCTCGTATCAAATCTCAGGCTGGTTCTGGTCATACTGGGTGCAGCAGATATGAAGACTATCACTTCAGTAAAGGGTGTCATGAGAAACCAGCCTATGAATAATTTGTTTGGTCTCACAACAACTGACTGCCACTTGATTTATCTGCAGAACCTGATCCTCTGCACTGTCCCATCATTTCCTGTTGTCCTTCTATGGACTTCTGCAACATTTTTCTGCTATAAAGCCCATAGAGAAAGGCAAGAAACCTATGGGTATATTTTTTCATGCTCCTGCAGAGCATGCACTCAATTAATTGAATATTATATAAAATGTCACAGACACTGAGAGTTTCATCGTTAACAGATATCTTGGTGCTTAATAGGCTGACTTGTATTGCCCTAACATTCATGCTGTAGAATAATGCTATATCTCCATATTAAAGAATAGAAACCAAAGTACAGAATTTACCCATATACACACCAAAGTAGTGTACAATAATATAAGAGAGTGAGGATACAAGACTAGTCTTCAAAGTCCAAGGCATTTCATAATTTTCTTCTCCTGTGCATTAAAAAGAAGTGTAAAACTGTTACAGAGTGGCAGTATTTTCCTTCCTTTTTTTCTGGGGAGAAAGGCAAGCCTGTGGTTTGTTTATCTGAACTATGAGCTTGACCATGAGAATTTGTCCTCTCCTGCCCACAACTGGAGCATGCTCCTTTCTACACTCTAATCTGCCAAAGTATTTTATATTCATCAATTATTTTTAGGCTTTTAAGTTTTGCAATCAATTTATACTTGTCTTATACTGTGTTCTCTTACAAGAGGTGATTTTAAAAATCTGATCTTTTAAAATTAAATAAAGGAAGCATTTTTGAAATAATATGCCTCAAGTAGTAAAAAAACCCAGATAAAATGACTGTGTGTAGGACTCTTCAAAACAGCGCAGTCATTTATACTTCAATACAGGTCTCTTCAGCCTACTGTTCAATAAGGAAGGTGATACAATGTCATGAAGGCATTTCAGTATGGTTTTTTGACCTCCCATTTTGAGTCTCAATATATTAAACTCTTCTTTTAGGTTTGGCATGAGTTCTTGCTCTTAAGATTTACATGGCTAAAATGTCCAGTTCAAGGAAGTCCAGTTAGGCAAGGTCTGTTTCCAAAATGCAATTTCTCCATTAGGGTGCAGCATCTAACGGCACAGCACTTTTATAGTGTGCATAATGAGAAGAAAAATATAATACTGTTGTCAATATTCAACGGATGATTTACAGACTTTTATGTACAGACAATATATATACTGTCATGTGACATTTTTTGATTAAAACATTTTAAAAAACAAACCTGAGATAATTTTGTTCATACAGAAGACAGCAAAAACGTGCATAAAAGGAAGAGTTCTTCTTGATAGCTATTCCATCATAATGATATCTAGAAAATTAAAAAAAAAATCAACTGACATCATATGATTTTCATCCTCATCAAATAATTCATAATCCTCCTTTGAAAGCAGATCATTCTATTTAACCAAAGACTAAGTAAAAAAACCCTTATGTTTGTTTTTTAAATTCTGTTGAATATTTATTTTCCCCACCAGAAAAAAAATTACATAAACTATTTACAAACTATTTTTAACAGTTTTTGCCCTGGAATGATACCTTCTTCTAAATGAAAAAAAAAAAAGCCAGTGAATAGGGTGCGACAAATTTGTACAGGACAGTTAGTGAAGTCAGGGACCAGAGTCTCAGCAGACAGAGGTCTTCATATACCCATGGACATTGCAGGACTTAGTGCAGCTGTTTCCTGGCCGTTCACAGTAGCTTGAAGACTGGATGGCCCATCAGTGGTCATGTGAACTAAAACTCAATAAACCTACCAGACCTTCTCTAAGGTTTATCCTGAGCTCAGTGAGCAACGCAGTCACCACCTCTGCTACCAAGGTGTCTTGAGCTGGCTCTTCCCAGATTGGGCCACGATGAAGCCAAGGGAGCGGTGACATGGTTTGCGGCCACCAGCAGCCAGCAAAGGGTAACCTTCTGCTGATGGAGAGAGCATGGAGGCTGGGGGCTACCAAACACCATCCCAAATACTCCCTACTATGAGGAGAAGCCTAGGAGTGTCTGCAGGGAGGCACTCCCAAATTAAAGGATCTCGTGGCTCAAGCTGATAGCAAGTCCAGACTAGTGGAGAAAAGCCATAGATCAAGTAAGGGCATGTTGTTCTCAGAGCCCGTACTTGACAGCTACACAAAATGCTTGTAAAATTTCTCTTTCTCAGTGTCCTTAAAACGTCCCCTTTCCCAGTCTGGATGTTCAGAATATGATTATAAGTTTGGACACAAAAGAGCATCAAACTCTCCGTGCTCTAGAAGAAGAGAGGAAAGGGAAAAGAAAGGAGAGGTAGGAAGAGGATCTGAAGTTGTCTGATTTAAATAGTTTGAAACTGTTTACAGCATTTCCATTGACCATCAGTATGTGCTGGGTCACTCCATGGATATGTGCAAGGATGAAAAACACAAGACAGACATCAGTCATGGCTGCCATCCCCACGCACCTCAGAAACAGGCTTTTCTGGCCTTGAGACCCAGTGTCTCAGGAACTCTGAGTAAGGTTGTGATGTCTAGCAGATGCCTCATGCAAACCATGGTGTTAATAGCCAGCACGAATCAGAGCAATAATTTTTTTTCAAAGCAGTCTGACCTGGAATTCGTGCCCTACCCAAGCAGATCTGATATGGTGGGTTTCATGGAATTTACTCTATTTTAACATCCTTGGTGACACCATGAATCACTCTGGATATTGTGATCTGTTACAGACTTGCAACCAACAATTCAGCTGCTATATTGCAGTGCTGGGGCTGAAAAGTCAGGCACTTTAAAATTTTATTAGAATAGTCAGAAATAACATTTTCAAAGAAAGGACATAAAACCGATACCTGATACTCCCTGCTGTGGTCCGCTTTCTTGTCACCAGACCTGGGAAAACTAACTGAATAAGCTGTAAAGACAAACACAAAATTACAGATACTTCACAAATTCATTCTAAAATGCAAAACTGTATCTGTATTTTTTGTCTTTATCACTTTGTTTCTGACTTTGTTTGCTTTCCATCATTTGCAGGCTAATACCTGTTCTTACATACCTCTCAAATGGTAACTGTTGAACAGAACTCAATGAGGCTTTTGTGGATCAAAGGCTAAGTAATTTAAGGGATTACTTCCTTAAGGTAGGAATCTTTTTTAGCGTAGTCTCTTTTACCTTGCACTGAAAAACAGTCAATGCTCACACCAGTAGACCCCCCATGATCGAGGGGGTCAATCAGCTGGGGGAACTTGAGGGCACTGTGATGCTCCCATACTCTGCCAGACCTGCAAGCCTTATTCAATTAAGCAGGACTTACACAAGGGGCTTCACCTACCCACTTACACTTGCAAGGTTACTGACAGGATAGGGCCCGACTTATCTGTCTTGAAAGGACCTGAATCATCAAGCTGCAAAGCAACCTTTTGACCACTATGGTGGTAAGTACGAACTGAGGTCATGCAGCATCTGTCAAGGTCAGGCTCTACAGTGTAATTAGATATTGTCAGGTTAATAATCCACTTCAGTATGATTATTCTGCATAAACTGTGTTGTGAAGACAGAAACTAGCCCAGGACACCTGGAACTAACATTCTGTATATAGCAGGAACAGAGGATCGAGTACTCCATGTTAGTGAGCAGTAAGAAGTGTCCATTCAGCAGCACACAGCTTGGACTCTGTGCAGAGTCACTGGTTCAAAGGCCTGATAAAGAACAGATTTCTCCATCTCACACTAATATGCACCTCCAGTTTTAACAGTGGTCTTGTTCTTTGCATGTTTCTGCACGCATCCACACCAGCTGCTCCCTTTCTCAAGCTGATAGTTTAGCATAATCTCATTTTCCTCAAAGGCAGCCTATGAAACTGGTGCTTCTGTGGCACAAGACACACACTTCCTCCCGCTGTCTCTTCTACAGAGACAGCGCTATATTTAAGTAGAGGGACAGGGCAGATGAGATTAGCAGTGTCTTGTCACCACAGTTTGATTCACATGAGGCTTGACTGCAAAAGCCCTCGCAGTCCACATATATGTAGTGCAGTCAGGTTACTACAGCTTGGTGAATTATTAATAGCTCAGCCCATTAGCAAGGCTGGGGTAACTATTACATGTGCACCTTCAGTTTAAACCAGGTCTGCTGCAGTTCCTGCCCTCCTCAGCTTCTTGCTGCATGGTCCTTTCTCTTGCTGCAGAAGGACAGACTATTTCAAGCCACTGGGGAGATGCACCCCAGTTTGCTCATTTAGGTTGTGTTGACTTGCACCGCAATGCACTGGGCCAGTTAAGGCTGTGAGCAAACAGTTGCAAGTACCAACCCATAGCAGCTCTGGCTCATCAGCTGAGCTCTCCTGCGTGACCAGACTCATGCTTCATCTGTGCCTGTCCCAACTTAAAAGTAAAATGCATTAATGTAAACCACAAGAAGGCTGGTAATCAGTCATGCTGGAATACCTGAAAGTGTATAGGCAGAATGAGATTAATCTTGCCTACGTGGTTACAAGGCAGAGATATCTAAGCTCGTCACTGTAGACTTGGTAGTCAATGGAGAAAAACAGGCAGTTCTGAGGCACATTTCATCTAAGAGGACTGAGGTGATTTTTTTTGTGTGAAAGGGAACATATGTAACTACTTATTTCTCTCCATTGGCTACCAAGAGATTTTTAAGGTGACCAGCTTCATGGCAGATGTCTACACTGAGCCAGGCAAATTCTACCCATGGTCTTAGCTGATGATCCATTCAGCTATGGTAATAAATCACACTGGATCACTCACTCAAATCTTAATTTTCAGTAAAAGTGATTTAACTTATCCAGTAAAAAAATTAGATTCAACTGAATTGAGATGAATGATTCCTAAAATGAGGTTATCCACATAAATGAAATTGATTTCAGTTATAACTTGTACTTATATTATTTTGGGCTTGTATTAAAACAGTGCTTAGTAGCTCTTAGTGTGGGACCTAATAGAATATTATCAGTTAAAAAGAAAGTACTGAACAAAAAGCCTTGAGCAACAAATAATCACAAGGTTTTCTATCTTCCTTACTTACATAAAAAATGTTGAATAGCTATGGGTGTTTGTTGCAACTGAGATTTCTAACTGGTAATTGCTCTGTGGGTTGCATCAACCTCCATATAGTAGAAGAGTGGAACCGTAAAAAGGAAATTCAGTTTTACATCTGCATTTGTTTTGCTTGGATGTATCTGTGACAACTTTTTAGGGTATGTTTGGAGCAAAATCTCCGCAAGTATAATTTAGGGGGAAGTATAAAATTATGTAACAATGGAAGGTATCTTTTAAAGACAGAAGAATCAACTTCTTGGGATGAGTTGTTTAACCTTCTGTTAAAAGCAGAAAGCTGGTAAAACTTTCTAAAATACATTGGCAAAAGAAGTCTTTGCTAGCGTAACATATACCAGTTCCCCGAAGAAAATAAACTCCACCACAGACAACCCTCATTTCTCTTGTATAACTGCATCTACACAAGGGTTTACCAGAAATTCATTAGAAAACACACAAGCATAATCCATTACATATTCATTCTTCTCTGTTACTTAATCTCATTTGATATGCAGTGTGTATATTTGATGATCAAATTTTCTGTTTAGACATCCCTGCTTATCTTATGTATCCTGTCTACGCTGTACCTTTCCAAAGGTGGATGGATGTACTTGAATCTTGAAATCTGGATTGCAGGTTTCAATATACAGTTCATGTAGTAGCCGACAGGGTACAGTGCATCCTCCACACAAGTAGAAATTATCAGCTAGCCTTTAAAACAAAAACATCAATTGGTTTGTATCAGAATTAGAAGAAAGAGTTGTTAGATTTTCAAGTTCTATTTTCCTTGTTTCCAAGGTGTAAGAGAGGTCATGTGAGAGTCTGCTATAAAATTAACTTGTTCTCATAATTTTTTAATTAAAAAATATAACTTTGTAATATTATAACATTAACACCAATACACCCAGTATTAGCGTTTCTCATATGCATATCAAAAGATCTAACTTTGGTCTTCTAAACAGAAAGATCTCCACTATACTAAAGACAATAATAGGAGAATTTTTCCACCTGAAATGTGAGATATGGTGATTTGAAATAGAGAGTACACAAACTGTAAAGGACAAAATTCTGTTTTCATACAACCTCACTGATTTTAGGACAAGTTTATTAAGAGAACAGAATTTTAATTTACAGTTACTATGTAACAGAACTGCCAGGACTGAAACAGGTTTAGATGTTTAAATACTCATCCTTTAGCCAAAGCCCTGACTCATCTTACTTATCAGAATGACCATAGTCAAGTAAATGCAACTAGTTGTGTAAATAAGGTGAGGAAGATGTAAACTTGGTTACTTATTAGCCTGAAGTATTACCTTCACTGGGAAAAAAATGACTTTTAATTATGAGATAATACCAATGGTTTTGATGTTAGAAGATAATAGCCTGCAGTACAAATACAGGAGCAAAGCTGAAGCAAAGGAGTAGAGAGATTAATTTTCAAAGCATAACACATTGTTCGTATGACAGTGGTTTCTTACTCTAACTGTGCTTCCATTCTACCAAATGATTTGTGCGTATTTAATTAATTTATCAGCTGAAGGCTAGTACACCACAGTGCCAGTTACTCACTGTGTGTTTACTGATAATCCAGTTGGTTGGGAAAGAAGACTTTTCATATTCACTGGGTGAGATAAGCCAGTTGGATTTTAAATCAGCATCCTCTGTTTTATCAGTAGCCTGACTTCAGACAACCCAGTGTTTATCTTTCTGAACTAGCTGTATTGGCAGTAGATAGCAGATAAGGTCTTCAGCAAACTGGCCTGAGCAAGAAGATGTTCACTGTGCTGTCTGACAATGTCTACCTCACCTTTTATTCATGTCTCCTCCCCTTCTTCCACTGAAGAAGGGTTTCTACCTCCCCTAGACTTTCTTCTCCCCAGCAAAAGATCCCCAAATGCCTCACTTATAGCTCCTTGGAAACCACCTTCTCACCCGCCAACCCAGGAGCCTGGTACTGTTAAGCACCAGGGCTGAGCTGCACTGGGCTCCCTGCCAACTCCCAACCACCTCCAGCCCCACCACCCAACAGAAAAGGTTTCACCAATAGACCTGAGCAGGAATCTATATCCAAAGATAGGGGATCTGCTGCATTACTGGGGTATTTCCCATCATCAGGCTCAAAGGTAAATGAAATTTATTCTAGATAAGAGTCCTGACTGAGCCCTGCCTCCCAGCAGGGCTCAGAAGAAACAACAGAAATGTTGTTTCTTCTAAAGTAACCATCTAAAACCCTTCACAATTAAGCAGTCCCACGGGAGCTTAAAGCTTAGTCCAAATTCATCCTTAATATAACACCAAAAGAGTCTCTAGAAGTGCGTCATAAATTAATTCATGCTTCAGTAGCTGGTTTCTGCCAACAGTTTTTCTTCAGCATTTAACTACTTAGCGACAAAATATTTTGGAATTTCCTTTTGTGAATTTATCATCTATTAAACTACCAGTCTTTTTCAAATAATAAGTTAAACATGTTCTTAGTGCTGACACATAATACAAGAATACCATTAGGAAAAAAAAATCCACACAGAAAAGAGCACTGTGCTCATCTTCTTGCCTATTAGCCCTGAGGTTTTCATAACTTGAGTTTTTATGGCATCATCAAACCAAAACTGCTAATAGAGACAAAAAAAAATCTAAAGAAAAGAGTGGTAAGGGAGAAAGACTGAGGTTAAACAAAAAGCACACGGTGAAAGACCTCCTCCATTTATCTACTATCTATCCACACTTTGTGTGTGATTTATTATCTGACTGATTTTAGGACCTCACATGGACTCCAGGTTTTTGGGGGTTGCCACCTGTTCTATTCAAACCCTTGGCAGCCACGCCATTATACAGGTTGGCAAGTCTGCTGTTAAATAATTTCTGGACCAAAATCTAGTTTGCTGTTGACAATGCACCAACCGTAAAATGAAGCTGAGCATTTAAAATTTTTCAAAACATGAAAAGGGGATTCAGAAGGTTGTCATGATGAAAAAAAAATCATCAGTTCATCATTTCAAGGATTGTTTATGATTCAGTTTTATGCTGTGTTTCAAACCTGTTGGATGAATCTCTTCCTTCTGTCCTTTTAAAATAGGAATGCTGGCATCTATATCACAGTAAAAACACAGACGAGCTCCCACTGCTCAGGTATTACTGAGAGGGAGAATAAAATGTTTTAGGATTACTTGCTGACAAGTTGAAAGTTTGTTTGTATTTGTTGTTACTTTTTCACACAAAGGTTCAACACTATTTACTAGCTGGACTCATCTGTGATTGGGGAAAGTAGGAAAGTATCCCTGGTTTCTCTTTGGCCATCACATGGCAGGTGATGCTCTTCTCAAAGCACAAGAAAATGATGATGACAACCTTACTCCACCACAGAAAGCATCTCATTAAGGAGTTCAACCATTACCTTCGTCTCAAGAAAGCATAACCTCAGAGAATGTCAAATGCTCAGCATCACTCTGAGTGAGTGCCAGTGTCCCACCAGCTGTGCAGCCTCGCAATCACTCGTGGCTGTAAGAGCCCACCAGCAGGAGTGGTCCAGCCAGGGAGAGCTCTTGCCAGCTGCCCTGCAGCATCACACCAAGTGGGTGACAGCCCCGGGGCCAGGGCCCGGCCAGTGGTCTGGCTGACAGAAAATCCCGTTTCCCCCGTGTCAAACCACCTTTATATCAGAAAGGCTTGCGGCGGGAGATGGGACTTTCAGGGAAGTTTCCTTGCTTTCTGGGCGTCGTTTATGCACCACAGTGATGACGGATCTTTGCAGCAAACCAGACTCTTGCCCCACGGAACCGCGAGAAACGCTAAAAGCAGGACTCCTGCGCTCCCCGTGGGAAGCCCACCCGGTGGGTCCTGCGAGCCCCCAGGTAAGGGGAGAGCCCAGTCCCGCCACCTCCCCACTCCATCCCCAGCCACGGCCCGCCCCCGGGAGCGGGGCAGGGGGCAACACCCACCACTGGAGGACGGGCAGGTACGTGAGGGAAGTGGGGCCGCAGTAAGCCATCTCGGCGGGCTCCGGGGCGGGCTGTGGCGGGGTATCGGCCATTGGTGCGGGGTCCGGCGGGGCCGGTAACGGACGGTGGGTAACGCCCGGCCCGCGCCACCCCCGCGCCCGCCCCGCGCCCGCCCCGCCGGCCGCACGGGCAATCCGCGCATCCCCCCCGGGGAGGGCTGCCCGCGGTGCCACCGCCAGCATCCCTGGCATTCACCGGCATTCCTGGCACCCACCCCTTTGCCGCCAAATGGGAATTTCACAGGAACTGCAGGTGAGAAAAGGAATTAGGTGCAGATCGGAAAGAAGTGAGAATGGCCGGTTGTGCGGCTCTACATCCGAATATCACGTAGTGACAGGAGAAGGGGGAATGGCTTCAAACCGAGAGTAGGTTTAGACTACGCATTAGGAAAAAAATTTTTTCCTTTCTTTACTATGAGGGTGGCAAAGCACTGAAGCAGGTTGCACAGAGAAGTTGTGGATGCCCTATCCGTGGGAGGGGCCAATGGATGCCCCATTGTTGGATGGGGCTCGTGGCCCTGCCCATGTCAGGGGTGTTGGAACTATATGATCTTTAGGATCCCTCCCAACCCCAGCCATTCTGTGATTCCATGATTCTGTGATCACAAGTGCCATCTTATAGGTTTTGCATGCCTTTAAAATGTTACTTTCAGAGTTTTCAACAAGAATACCATAACCTCCCATAATTCATAGAATCATAGAATCAACTGGGTTGGAAAAGACCTCTGAGATCACCAAGTCCAACCCTTGGATCCAATACCACTGTGGTTACTAGATCATGGCACTAAGTACCACATCCAATCTCATCTTAAAAACCTCCAGGGACCATGAATCCATCACCTCCTTAGGCAGCCCATTCCAATGTCTGATTACTCTCTCTGTAAAAATTTCTTCTGAATATCCAACCTAAACCTCCCCTGGCAGAGCTTGAGACCATGCCCTCTTGTCCTACTGCTGGTTGCATGAGAGAAGAGACCGACACCCATCTGGCTACAGCCTTCTTTCAGGTAGTTGTACAGAGTGATGAGGTCTCCTCTGAGCCTCCTTTTCTCCAGGCTAAACAATCCCAGCTCCCTCAGCCTCTCCTCATAGGACTTGTGCTCAAGTCCCTTCACCAGCCTTGCTGCTCTTCTCTGGACCTGCTCCAGCACCTCAATATCCTTCCTGAACTGAGGGGCCCACAACTGGACACACTTGAGGCGTGGCCTCACCAGGGCTGAGTACAGGGGAAGAATCACTTCCCTGGTCCTGTTGACCACATTGTTCCTGATACAGGCCAGGATGCCACTGGCCTTCTTGGCCACCTGGGCACACTGCTGGCTCATGTTCATCTTCCTGTGTATCCAAACTCTCAGGTCCCTTTCTGCCTGGCTGCTCTCCAGCCACTCTGTGCCCAGCCTGTAGCGCTGCAGGGGGTTGTTGTGGCCACAATGCAGGACCCGGCACCTGGCCTCGTTGCACCTCATCCCGTTGGAATCAGACCATCTCTCCAGCTTGTCCAGGTCCCTCTGAAGAAAATAGTTTAATTTCTCTTTGATGCAGATAGATGAAAGGTCTGTCTGCTCTGCTGAAACCCTGTAAGCACTTTTCCATTGCAAGTATCCACTATGCAAAATGAGCTTTGCTGCCATGTGACTGATGAACATAAATTATGTATGGCTGGAGCATCTAAAAGCTTACTAGTGGATGGCTTTGGGTTACATCAGAGCTCAGCTTCTCAGAAACTCCCACGGCTGCCTCCTGTTAATTAACTTCCTGAAAGCCCACATATGAGACAGACTGGCTTGCTTGCTTTGTAATGACAAGATGACCAAAGTCAACACGTCAGTAGGCAGCAGTGTTAAAGTGGGAAGGAGGGGATGGACACGGACTTGGGGACACAACACTAGGAAAGGGAATTTAGGGAAGAAGATTGCTGGTTTTCTAGTGCCTCAAAGTAGCTTGCTTTTGAGGAGCAGTGCACACAGATATCATGTATAATACATGTTGCTCTTAATCTGCGAAGCCTCATGCTGTGTTGAAAACCATATGGGAAGATGCTGTTCACTCAAGGGCCCCTGAACCAAAGCCTTTAAAATTATTTCTGCCCAAAGCAAGGTTAGTATATGCACTGTAACCAATACAATCTGTCACCAATAATTGTACTTAATAACTGATTGTGTAAGCTTCCCTCAGGAGATACAGTTCTTGTTTTTTTATGTCCACGGTCTACTGATCCCCTCTGTGGGACATTTAACTTACACAGCAGATACTCCTGCAAATACTGTAAAGTGAAAGCTTTCTCAGGTTAAACTAGCTATTGTAAGAACTGGCAGCAGTGATATTGCAGCAGCTGTAAGACTCGTGGTGTTGTCATCCAAGTACTCACAGAGCTTCTGTGCTGGGGCTTGCAGTAGATACCACCTGACACACTCACGTCCAATTCGGGTGTGCCTGTCCATACTGCACTGAGAGCAGTCTCCTCCACTTAATCCACCTGAGGAACAGGAAAACTCAGCTCCAGTTTCCAACAACTCGATTGCTTATATGTTTGCATGTGCTTCTGAGTCCTGGTCATAGTTCCTAGGGGTCATGACCAACAGCTGACTTTTTGGGACTATCTGAAACTCTACAAAGCTAGTGAAGCTCCCTAGGCCTGATGCCTGAGCAGGAAAAAAAGACCAAAAAAACATTTACAACTTATCTAAAACTGAAAAATTATAAATGGACTATTTCTGTGGTAACAGATTAAAACAAAGGAAGTCACACAGATCAGAAATTCCCTGGACTACACCTAATACTCAGAAAGGTCTTGATGAGAGGAAGCAAAAGATGCACAAAAAAACTGTCCAGTTACTGTCGATGGCTTGAGAGATATAAATAAGGTCACAGAACTTCTCTTGCCCAGTTTCCAGATAATAAGATGGATAGATCTGTGTACTGTTCAAATCTTGACACTACTTTTATTTGATTAGGCTCTTCCCATTTTTTTTTTCAGAAAATGACTCTTTAATCTTTCAGATAATTCTAACACTTGCTTTTTTGGGAGGGGTGGGGAGGGAAGGGGGTAGGGATGGAAGGGAGATTCTGACTTGAAATGCCAGGCTGCTAGTAGAATTTGATTGAAAACCTGAAATCTGCTTCTTCAATTTAATCCGGTCAGATTGGGCTGGGTGGATGTACATTAGGTCAAGCTGTAGAAAGTCTTTATTCTTGCATAAGCTGAAAGTTGCAAAGCTCTTTATTGCTGTCACAGACATACTCCATGTGCAAAATTAAAGAGCATTTAATGAACATGCACTTTGACTGAAAAAAAAAGTTGGACCTAAAATTAGAAGTATGGTTGAACTGATTAAAGAGGTGCTAAAGAAGCTCCCTTCCTCTGACTTTTATCCATAACTAGCACAAATTTAAACCAAACTCTGAGATAACAAACATCTCCAAAACATTGTAAGGAGTGTCTTTAGCATAAAATTGCCTCTTCAGATTACTGCTTCTGCTCAGCCCCCCATCCTATATTCAAGAGAGGATTTGGATACCTTGTGAGAGTTGGATGGCTTGTGAGGTAAATAGATCATGTAAGAGCTTTTGCTGCTGACAGCTGTTCTGTAAAGGTAAGTGCCGATGTCTCTCAGATATTTACAGGTTTTTAAAATAAGTGCTTTATAAGATTTTTAATGCTTAAGCTAAAGTATGTATGAAACAGTCATGAAGGCAAGTGAATCCACTACAGCTTCCACTACGAGCAGCAATGAAAATACGTGACTGCAGTAAATTGTATGTTCCTCTAGAGTTGAAAAGACCTCGATGGTATTTATTTCATCTATTCTCATGTAGAAAGGAATGGGTAAAAGAGGTTGAAAAGTCAAATCAAAAAACCAAATCTTTCTCTGACACCATCAAACCAAGGTCCTGGAGAAGCATACCATTATATTTTCAATATGAAAAGTTAAAAGAATTGGGTCAGTGTTAGTTTAAGAGTCCTGGTAAACATCCCTATTTGGGAAATAAACCAGTACATTCTGTTGGTTTGGCTTTTGTTTGTTTTTTTGTTTGTTTTTTTTGTCTCTACTAGTTGACCTACCAGGGACAAAATTGCATATGTGCAAAGGTTTACTCTTTTTCCTTCCTTCAAGATCTGAATAATGCCAATGACCAGGCATTACCTCAAACCGATCAGCTTACTGTGAGCAGAGATGTTCAGAGTCCTAGTTATCTTTCAAACTTTAGTTTAAAATATATCACCTGAAAGAATTAAAAAAATACAAAAGGTCATATCTGATTGTGTCACAATGTTTGAAGCAGCAGCAAAACCAAAACAGGATTGCAACCACCTTCTCCTTGAATATAATGCTTTGACATTATAGGAAACTGTCCTTCACAAGCCACAGTCTTTGACATGAATGCATATGAGGAAGAAGAAGTGCTTAAGTGCCTATGGTATATGAACTCTTTTGCAGATGAAAATCCAGTTCAGCAAAGCTTGTCAGCATGTGTGTAAGACTGCTTCATTTCAGCAAAGCATTTATGAATGCACTTACATTTAAACATGTACTTAGCTGAATTGTTTTGGTGAGTGGGGATTGATGGCTGAATTGAGCCATTAAACATTAATGATGGATCTGGAAACACAAAACAGTATGTAAATTGGGATGTGTCATGTTGGGACTAGAATAAACTGATTCAAACACTGCAATCATTGCATGATTAAGATATCTTGAAAGATGTGAAGCCATTAGAAAGTCTTAGAACCTGGTGACTTGAGAAAGGGCACAATCACTGCCAGTCATTCAGTCCTCATCTCATCTCATCTCATCTCAAATCACTTGGTTTTGGAGTGTTTGGTGGGGAGACTGAGTGGAAATCTCTTCCACTTAGAAACTGAAACACTTAAATTTCTGTTGGTACAACATTAATTCTAGACGTTGCCCAGGACAGGTCATCTATTGATCTCCTTTTAATCAGGATGAAAAATGAATTCTTTGACTTCTTTTGGTCTGATGTGAACACTTCCCATGGAGCCCTGCTGGTCACCCTTTGTGCTCCTGTACAGGTAGTGCCTCTAGGAAGGTGACCATGGAGCTGAGGACT